AATGCCTGAAAGCTCATCATTTCACTTTCTGACAATGAAATGCACTTAGAGACTGAAAACTGATTCACTTTCTTTCATTTATTTTTCACCCAACTTTACAAAGAAACATAAAATAAGCAGCAAAAATCTTTACTCATAGTAAGTTTCGAGTTAAATAACACAATAAATAACTGCCCATTAAATTATCTCAAGTTTGCTAATGAAGAAAAAATTAGTTTGAAAACTTTTCCAAATCCAAGTTATGAAAATTCTCAGCTTTATAAGCAAAACAAGTTCTTAAAAATATTCCATTTCGGACTTTCACTTTGGACTTCCATTCAGTATTCAATGCTCTCTCCATTTACAGTTGCTTTAAGATTTGCAAGTGTAAACTTGAACTGAAAGAAAAAGTTGAAAGAAAATTTGTTTCTCTTTTAATGGTTATTCAAAGATTGGGAATGACTGGGAGTGAATATTTATAGCTGGCAATCTAGTAGCAAATAAATTGCAAAATTAAACTGCGATAAAAGAAGAGAAATTGTTTACTCGATTCAAGCTCAACTTTTCATCATTTATTTTAATTTGTTCAACTAAACCCTTTCGACATTTATCAATTATAATTTGCTTCCAATATTAACCAATCATTATGATAATGGTGTGATGTTGAAATTAATGTTGCTTTAAATAGGAAAGTTTCGAGGTTAACAGTAGCTTTACCTTAGTATAAGGTTACCATTTGCGCATTTAAATTTCATTAAAAAAAGAAATGCTCTGATTTCCCATATAATAACAGTGTTTCAAAGTTTCAAGCTAATCTTCAGTCTAGTTTATTAAGATTTTCAGCAAAATTATCTTTTCCCAAAACTCCAATTTACACACTCTAGCAATTTATTTTCAACTTTTCCGATTATTTTCGACTGGAAAATGTTATTTAACCAAAGCTGGATTAACAGTGAAAACAATTTCAATGTATTTCAATGTTTATCAATAATTGTCAAATTGCATTGAAACTTGACTAAATGAAAGTCAGTCAAGAAAAACTAAAACTCAATCTCAGAATCAACTTTATCTGGTTTCATTTTTACTAAAAAGGAATTGCATTTCAAGATCTAATTTCAAAATTAGTTATTTCTCAATACATCAAGTAATCTTCAATTTTGCAAAAGAAAACTTTTAAATCTTTAAATTTGAAGTTCTTTTCGACTTTGAAGGTTGTCTATTCAGTCGTCAGCTAAGCTGAAAGAAGAATTGAATTTCGTTTAAAAACTCTTCGTTTCGTAAACATTTGACAATCTAAATGTTGAGCTCATTTTGCTATCATTTTTAGTTAATTTGTCTTGAATGCTCTCTGATGACCGATTTGTTGTCAACATTTGTTGAGAAATGGCATTATTTCACAAACATTTGGACCATCGAATTAAAAGTAAATGGAAATTTTGCATGAAAAGTGGAAAAGTAATAAAAAAGAGTTTACGAGATACATTCATGAAATCATTTCAACTTTTTTCTCCATGAAAACCCGAGGCATTTGCAATTGGAAATGTTTTGACTTGGAGAAACAAAAACAGAAGAAATGGGAAGAAATGAGAATGCATATATTGATACACATTAAAAGATGAAAATGGTTGCATTGAAAATGCACCAATGCTTCAGGGTTATTTCACCTTGTTGATTTCGTGTCATTACATCAGATGAACGAGTTTTAGAGGGAAAAAGAAAGAAGAGGAAAAAAAAGACAGAAAAGATTGGAATCAAATGAGTAGAAAAAGAGAGAAAAGGTGAAATTTTTGTTATTTGCTTTCATTACAGGCCAACTAATAGTTACATCTCTAGTTGAACAACTCTTTACATGTCAACATTTTTCATTCAACTTGAAATGGAATGGCAAAGGTAAAAAGCAAAAGTAAAAGTGAAACAATCCGTAAAAATATAAATACACACAATGATGAAATAATTTGAAATGTCGAACAGAAAAAAATGTCAAATCTCTCTTTTTCTTTCTCAATGAAATTCTGCAGAAATACGTCTACAAATCCATGCATTAACAGGGAAGGAAGAAAAGTTTCATTGGAATGTTGAACGTAAAGGTAGAATCGAAATTTTTGTTCAACTTCAACTGCTGTTTTTTCCCTGTTACTAGTCAACCTTTTTCATCTCATTTTCTTTCCCATCAACACCTTGAATATTTATTCATTTTACAGCTTGATAATAATTCAATTTTGAAAATCAATTTTAGCCTCAAAAATGTTTCACTTTTTTCTTCACCTTCATTCTTGTTGCCTCATTATCATTGAAACACTTTTTTTTCTCCTGGTTTCAACCTTTTCATGTTGATGCTTTTTTGGTTGTTACATTGTTATTGAAGCCAACAACAAGTTTATCAATTTTTACATAAAATTGAATTTTGTAATCTTGTAATGAAACAAACATGTTTAAATAAGTCAAAAATGGTAAAGAGTTGAGGTGAAGAAAGAAAAGGAGGAAAAATTGATAAAAAATGAACAAAACTATTATTACATGATAATGAGCATGATGATAACGTTACTCTTGTGCAATATTCATTCAACTTTTTCCATCTTCTTCTTCAATCATTATTCTTAATAAAATTCAAATTAATGCTACTACATTCAACTTGGCTACCTTTAACTTTTCAGGAATTTGTTCATTCCCAGGAGAAAAAGAGAAAAGAAATCAAAAGAATTACCGTTTTAATCTTTCATCATTGATTATTCTCACTTGTCTTTAACTCATCATCACCTGCACTCTTTACAATTATCTACTTCTCACTCAACTTGCAACCTTTTCTCAGCCCTTTGGGATCGCTTATCGTTCCTTCAACCTTGACTTTCATTTACTTTACACTCTACAGAAACTTTGCTTTACCTTTGACTTGCAACTCTTTAACCTTTCTTTATGCAACCTTTTCCTCTTCAACTTTTTTGTTTCTCAGTGAATTTGATGAAATTAAATTTCTCACTTTCACACTTTTACCTAATTAATTGGCAACTTGATCCATCAACAGTTTCAACAGGCAACAAGACTTGTCGAGTGCAGGACACATTGGACGCAATCAGAGAAACAAATGGAAAGATAATTGAAGTTGATTGGCTTGAAAATGTAAACCAACAATTGAATGAAATGCATCAATTTTGACAAGTGCAAAGTGCTGATTAATTGTCAACTTTACCCTTTGAATGGTTGTTAAGAAAAGAGTTGCTGATAAAGTCATTTCAACGTTAATTCTTTCATCGTCCTTTCTCTTCTCATGCTTGTCAATTTATCAATTAAATATGACGATGAAAATAATAGAAGAGGATAAAATGTATTCTTTAGTCTTTGTTTCTTGGTTTACTTTTTTTTCATGCACAAGAATGATAATAATGAGAAAAGTTGAATGTCAATTTGCATAAACAATTTTCATGATCGTTTAAAATGTAAATTAATTTCCATTGTCTTTCAGCTTTTCCTTGATTGGACGCTCCAACATTTCTAATTAAAGTTAAATTGGCGATGAAAAAAGGAAAACACTCGAGGCAGATTCATGAGCCACAGGATATATTCATAACCTTTTGTGATTCGTTATCAGAGGAAAAGCGTTCATCTTCTATTAATAAGTTTGGGTTGAACAAGAGAGAAAAAGTTGAAACGGAAAGAACAAAAAAAAATTTCTTCTTTAAACAACTTGAAACAATGAACAAGGTTCAGGGTTGATTAAGGTTGAGGTGAAAATGAATAATGAAACATTTCAAGTTGAATAAAGGGTTTGAAAGGGGGAAAATGTTTGCAAGTTTAAAATTGATTTTTCAATTTTTTTCCATTTTTTGCCAAATTCTTTCTTCACCTCAACCTTGCACTCAGTGGCTAGAGATTATTCTGATTAGAAAGGGCTTGAAATGGAAAATTGTGAGAAAAGAAAATGTCATTTCAAAAGGAAAAAAAAGTTACGTTTCATTTTTCGTCCAAAGGAAACTATTAGAATTGAAAGATTCAATCAACTTGTGGTTTCACAATTGAACACTGATGATCATGATAAACATGGACAACCATTGTTGAGTCTAAAACTGTGGTCATGATTGAACATTTTTCTCTCTTCATTGAACAATGAGTGTGCACCACAACAAAGAATAAATTGAAAGGTTCATCACCGAAAAGAAGAAGAAGAGCAAAAAAGTGATGGAGAAAAAAAAATTCTTCTTCTCACTTCTCAATTCAATGGAATGAAATGAGTAAAAAAAAGTTCATTGATATGTATAGATGGACGCATGATATTTTCATTTATCGTGCTAATATTGAGGTTTGATATTGGAATGTTGTAATAGTTTATAGATAACTGTAAATATCAATTTTTTCCTAAACATTAGTTGGATTCAGTTTTTATTTAGTTTGCAAAATTCACCCAAAACCAAACCATTATCAAGGTGAATGGAAGAAGCAAAGTTCATTCCTTGGGAATCATTTTTCTTTCCTCCCAGCATTTCCTTTGATAACAAAATTTTCTTGAGATGAAACTGATAAACATTTTTCTTCTTTACCATTTCATCTCAATTTTGATCCATCATTCCCTGTGAATGAAATCAGAGAAAAGTTCAACTCTAATATTTCATAAGAAAAAAGAATAGTAATTTGTAATCAAATTCCGAGATGAGATAACAGGGATTTTCCAATGAATATGAATCGATTGAGTTATCAGCGAATTTCGAATTTGCAACTTTGTTCCAATTTTTGACCGGTTTAACGAAGCGGAAAATTTTGTCGAGCATTTCGTTGGAAATTTTGTTCAGAATTCGTTGGGAGGGAAATCGCTTGGAATGCATTTTTTCTCAAGGAAAGGAAAGGTAAAAAAACATTATCACAGGATAATGAGAGCTTGTAATGATGATGATGAAAGAGAGAGAGAGAAAAAGTTCTGAAACTGAAAACATGGGTCATGCAAAGATGATGAAAATGATTGTGAGCAGTCTCTTTCTTCTCTCTCTCTCTGCTGAACTCTGTTACGTGTTCATCACTATTTTCCTTCTTTCATTCTGTTCATTTTCATCATTCATTCAACATCTTCATTATTGAGTTTTTTTTGCTTCTCTTTTCTTTCTCTGGCATTTTTACATCAATTGGGACTACAAATGTGTGTACAAACATTGTTGAACAAAAAGAGGAGAAAAATTAAGCAACCATGGATTTTATGGATTATAATGTGATGATTTTTAATTTAACACCGTGCATCTCTTGGACCAATTCAACTGTTACCTATGATCGATTTGGATGCTCCGATGATCTCTCCGCACCATCATCCGCATCAACCTCAACCTCAACCTCAGTTGCCTCATCTTTAGCCGACAAGTTGTCCTCTGCTTCCTCACCATCAGCTTCAGCCTCAACAACAGCAACAGCAGCTTCAGCGTCAAGGCTTTCCCTTTCCTCTTCGGTTGTAATTATTCTAGGTATGTGTACCTGTGAGTGTAAAAAGTGTCTCAAAAAAATTGATATTCAACTTGACTCGAAACACTGAGAGTAGCAAATCTTGAAAATTTTGTAGCAACTTTCTTTTTCTCAAGTTTTTTCAATTTTGTCCAACTTTATCAACATTTCAAATGTTGACTTTACTTTGATGAATGTGATATTAGTTTAGCGTGAAATTTTTTTTTTCATCAATTTTGCTTTTCTTTTCCAACTTTTCAACTTTTATTGCTGTTTTTTTTTTCTGGTCAAGATTGACTAGGAATAACTATTGATAAATATTATCAGTCATTTTTTGGTTCAATATTTGTTGTGCAATATTGCATTTTTGTCCAGCTTTGAGGTCAGAAAAGTGATTGAATCTAATCAATCAAAGGGAATTGGTCAGTTGAATGAAATCAATTTGCACAATTTATTCTCATATTTAAATGGTTTGACAAAAAAGTCATTTTTTCCCTCGTTCCTTGATCTGATGTTTTGATGATCTTTTTCTTGCAGCCTCTTCTTCCTCTTCGCCGTCTTCGGTGGCTTCCCTGTCTGCCTCTATACCGACCAATGTCAACTTTAGTGAAACAATCGAGTCTCTTTCAGGTGAACCTTCAGGTACACCTTTTAACCTTTGGATGACCATTTTCATCGCAACGTCCATTGCTATACTCAGTGTGGTTACCATTCTGGGCAACATTTTAGTGCTCACAGCATTTGTGGTTGACCGTCAAATACGTCAACCAAGCAACTACTTCATAGTTTCACTAGCAATCTCTGATTTATGTATAGGTTTCATCTCTATGCCAATATTTGCCATCTACATATTACAGGGTACATGGAAACTGGGTCCAATGCCGTGTGACCTTTGGCTTTCCGTTGATCACACGGTTTGCCTTGTATCCATTTACACCGTTTTGTTGATTACCATTGATCGATATTGTTCCGTTAAAATTCCAGCCAAGTATCGCAATTGGCGAACAAAGAAAAAAGTAATTTGGATGGTAATGATTACCTGGATTGTGCCAGCATTGTTGTTTTTCACATCCATCATGGGCTGGGAGTACTTTATCGGCTATCGTGATTTAGAGCCAGGCGAGTGTGCCGTTCAGTTTTTAAAAGACCAAATATTCAACACTTCATTGATAATTGGTTATTTCTATGTTACCCTTGTTATCTTGTTTGTACTTTATGGTGAAATTTACAAGACTGCCCGTGAAATGGCCAAAAAGTCGGAAGAAAAGGCTAAAAAAGTTCAATCACTGGTAACGTTGACCCGTGAACCTGGTGAAGGGCCGATAGGTAGAGGTATGGCTCTGTCCAAAACACAGAGTACTTTGTTGAGTCAAGACAAGCCCAAGCCAGGGTCAAATTTAACTGTTCCGTCCGGTATTGGAGTTGGACCAAGTATGAGTGGAGCTCAACCCACGGATGGTTCAGGTCCGGGTGAGTATCACTTTAAAAGTATGCAAGTTTATGGACAGTCGACTAGTCAGTACAAGAAGCGTGAAGGGCCGATAGGTGATCCTGGTAGTGCTCATGCTACAACCGAGGCTGGTGCTGGTCAGTGGACTGGTGCAGGAGGAGATGGTGGTGCCAATAGCTCTGATCAAGATCGTTCAAGTTCACCGATATTTGATTCCGATGAAGACTGCTCACCTCAACCTGTTTTGCCAAAAGCAACTAAAAACTCGAAAACTCGAAATGCAAAAGCATCCGATGAAAATAAGGCCAATAAAAAAGGCAACACTAAAAAAGACTCGACCAGTAGTAATCAAGCCAAACAGCTTCCCGTTTTAATACCGAGATCACCTTTAGCCTGTTCACAGACTCATAAGTTAAATATTCCGCCTTTTCCATCAAATAAAAGTAAATCATCAAGTTCATCTCAACATTCAGAAAATGCATCAACAAGCACAAAATTGCATCAAAACCATCCTCATCAACCTTCAACCTCTTCCTCTTCATCCACATCAACCCATCGACCCGAACCTCCAAAAAGTTTACCCATTGAACCCACAAGGCAAAGTGTAACCATCAAAGCAAATCATATTGGTGATTGTTTGGTACAAAATGTGCCTAACTGTGATTCATTTAGTGTCAAAGAGTCAACAGACAATGTTACAGGGAGTGGCGAAAGCAATAGGCAACATGATAAAAATGATAAACAAATCAATAGTAATAAAAGTAATCATCAAAATATAAATAGAAATAGAAGCAACAACGTTAATAAATGCCATCAACAAGTGAATCAATTTAGTGTAAACTATTCAAATTCAAGTCAAACCAAAAGTCCACCTGGACCATTGACTCAATCAGGTCACGCGAGTGTTGGCTTGTCTGGTGACTCGTCGGGTGATACAATTTTAGTGATGGAATCGTCATCCATCAAAGTAGACCCAAGATACGATGAAGTAAACACTAGTCGAGAGACTGATGAAGAAGAGGCCAAGCATCCAGATGGAGTTAGTGCAGTTGGTAGTGTGGTTGCCGGTGAGACTGTAAGTGAAGGAATGGGTATGAATGGTGATCCAGACCAGGAGCAGAATGGATTTGAAGATAAAGGTGCTATTGTGTTGAAGTTGTCAAAGCGCCTGAGAAATGGTCGTAAAAAGAAGGAGAAAAGGCAAAAGAGTAAATCAGAGAATCGAGCTCGAAAAGCCCTGCGAACAATTTCATTCATTTTAGGAGCATTCGTCATTTGTTGGACACCGTATCATATCAATGCTCTTGTTGAAGGTTTTTGTAAAAATTGTGTCAACCATCATTGGTTTTATTTTACCTACTTTTTGTGTTACGTTAATTCGCCCGTTAATCCATTCTGTTATGCCATGGCCAATCAGCATTACAAAAAGACTTTTTATCGAATATTAAAAGGAGATTTACATCGAACATGAAAAAATGTACATTCAAATTTTAGGTGAACAAAACTTGACCCAAGTTCGAGCAAAAACAAGAAGAAGAAGAAGATGAAAAAATCACTTTTAAAGACAACAAGAGAAACAAAATACAGGGTTCCTACGCTATTTTGGAACGAATGAAAATGATCATAATTTTAGAATCAGTAATAATTGAAGAATAATTTTTTAATAAAATGAAAATTTAACTTTGGGTGATCAGTTCTGTTGTGATTCAAATTGTTTTCTCGCAATTTTGATGCACATTTTTGCTCTTTTATAAAAAAATCGGTGACACTTTCGGGCTCTTCCATCTTCGATCACTTTGAAAAATTCTTTGAAATGAAAGAGTGAATTCATAAATTGGGCTTAATTTTTTTACCTCAGCAATAATGATCGATTTTTTGAGCTCAAATGATCTTGAAGGCCGATTTACTTTACATCTTAGTTGAATTAATTGATTAGCTAATTGTTTATTGAGGTAAACAATCGAAATTCAGATTTATGGCCATTTTTCAGAATAAATTACATAACTCTTTCAATACTTGGTTAAAGATTAAAAACTTAGTACCAGCATAATGCTCAAAAACCATTCTAACAGTTTACGAAAAATCTGCTTAGAAAAATAAGCGGTTCAAAAGTTATTAAGAATTTTCTGCGTTCCAAAATAGCGTAGGAACCCTGTAGAAGTACAAATGTTCGAAATTCAGTGTTTTCATTGATTGAAAGTTTGCTTTTTTTCTGTCGCCAATTTCAAGTTGCACACCTTTAAATTGGTCAACCTTTTTTTCAATTAGATATTAAAGCAAAAAGCTATCATTTAATATCACCAATGGTAAATTGTTATCCAATTATGAAAAGGCAAAAAGTTTCATTTCTTCTTCTTCTTCTTCATCCTTTTCATCTCATCTTTCCTTACTCTTTTTTTGCTCTCTGTTGCATCCTTCTTTTGCTCCTCTTTTTGATACAAAAACATTTATTATCTGTACAAGTTTTATCCTCTTCTGTTTTGTTTGGTTTCATTGACTCATGGGAACTCATGTTAATAATATTAGCCTCATCATCAGATGAAACAATGTAATGATACTATGTCAACCAAGAAAAAAACTACAGATAACACAATAAAATCTATCAAAATAATAATAATAAAGGCAATGAAGAAAAAGAAAAGTCTGAAAAAAAATTTTCTTCCAAAGCATCAAGTTCAATATTAATCATTCATGTCATCATTTTACCGTTCAATTTGCATTCCAACAAGTTGGTCACATTTGGTCAACGAAAAAAAGGAAACGACAAAAAATTAGTTCTTTTCAAGGAAAGAAGAAGCAAAGTAAATTTTATTGATCAATTACAGAATTTGAATTGCCATGAAGAATGGACAAATTGTTGAATCTCAATGTGTACAGAATTGCAAGTTTTAACCAATTTATCTCTATTCATGTAAAATTGAGGCTCAATGGAAAGTATTGGGAACAATATTGAAACTAGAGATGAAACCTGATTATCTGTTTATCCAGACTCTTGAGTTTTTTTTCTGTTAAACTTGCTTCTCTTATCAATAGGAAATCCTGTCTGATTTATGATAAATTTTCGGTGCATTACCATCATGTTCATCTTCTTTACTTTTCTCATTTCGATAAAAACCTTTCTTTTGGTCAAAACTCTTTTTTTTATCGAACTCCTTTTCTTCCACTTTTCCCTTTTCATTCTCAACTTTTTTTTCCTTTTCTCTTCTCATTCTCATCAAAATCATGAAGATAAAGATGAAATTTTCTCCATTTCTTGCAACCTTTTCATCAATCATGATTTCTCCTTTTTTTTATTTATCAACATCATCATCATGTACTGATTTGTCTTCCTCTTCATATTGCTAGCCTTTTCATTTTCCAATTTACCTTTTCTTTATCCGTAGGAAAAACTGACTGGAAAGTTGCTTCCATCTTCAACTTGAGAAGAGGCAAGAAAAAAGGTTGAAGAAAAAACTCTTCGCCTTTTTTTCTCTCAACTTTTTTCTCTTCTTTTTCTGCTTTTCCTTTCAAAAATTCAGTGATTTTTACAAACACACCTTGAGGCCTTTCATTTGACCTTCATGCCTCTCCCATAAACTGTCAAAGTCCAGTTGCACTGGGTTTCAGCTCATGAAAGGTGAAAAATATTTCAAACCAAATTATCAGTTAAACATGTTTCTCTCTTACCATGTAAAGTGACAAAAAAGATTTGCCAATTTTTGTTCATTCATTCAATACATTTTTTTCTCCAAAACAGATTTTCTTATTGATGGAATCAAATTATCATATTATTACTGAAAGGAAGAAAAAATATCACCCTGAAAGTCATCATGACAGTTTGCCTCTAAATACCTCATCACATTCAACATTTGAAACAAAAGATTTTTTCTCTTTTTTCTTCTTCTTTCAAAGTTGCTTATTTTTTAGAGTCTTGGTAGTCACAGGTGAACAACTTTAATGGACATAAATTTTGACACATTTATTGGTTGAAAGGGTCACCAAGCATCAGTCATGAGTAATGATGATGAGGATAAAGACATTGGATCGCCAATAAAAGTGACCAGAAAAAAGAGGTTAAAATGAAAAGTAGAAAGTTTAAGCCTTCCATTTGTAATTCTGTTGACAGGTGATTAAATTGAATCAAAGATTGGAAAGCAAGTGAACTCTGGTAAACAGTGTGAACGTTCAATGAATAAAGGACAGTATAATGAGCCAGGTAAAGGGTTGAAGCAAGTGTTAATTCCGAAAATGGTTGGATAATGTTGCATGGAAAAGTAAGATGCTTCCAGCATTGAACAGGGACAGAAAAGAAGATGAGAAAAAAAGGAAAAGAAAATCGAAGATGAAAATTATTTTTACTTTACTCTCGCCTGGTTTCAACTCACTTGAGTGACTGGTTAAACAAAGCTTAACGCTATTAATCGGTTCAAAGTTTGGTAATAAGTAGTTGAGTAAACTGTGGTTTTATCATGATAAACAGACTTGAACCTTTACATGAATTTACTGTAAATAATAAAGTCAAAGAATTTTTTTTCTTCTTCTCCTCTTTTCCAATGGCAAGACCATGAAGAGGTTGAAGAAGAAAATTGAGACAAAAAAATGTGTCTTTTTTTCGTTCCATGTTTACCTTTGCCATTACTGGCATCATTTAATTGAAGAGAGTAAAGAATGTTTTTCTTGTTACCGAAAAGTTAAACACATCAACAAGTTATTGGAACAAGTAAATTTTAATTTTCATCAGAGACTTTCTTCTTTTTCAGAACTTTTCTTTTTCTCTTTTCCAGTGTTCCAATGTTTACTTTGCTTTTACATGGCTTTGTGTTGAACTTTAGACTCCATTTGACTTTGTTCAACTGAATCAAATGGACCGCAAATGTACTTTCCTGGACTGGATGGATTCTTTGAAACCCAAAAGTCGTATACAAGCTCCTTGAATCGGTCTGATGTTAATGCATTTCCGTTTGCCTTGTCTTCTTCCTGTTACAAGGTGAAAAGAATTGAACAATTAAATGAGAAAATTGAATGGGTTGAAATTACAGGAGAAGAAGAAGAAAAGAGAGAAAAAACTGTTCAGTTGAACATTTTAATCAAAGGCAATTTAACATGCTATTGTTGGACTAATTTTGTGACAATCATGTCCATGTTATACAATCATTTACTCTTTGTACTTCATTTCATCTAAACAAACTGACATATTGCTTGAAACTGATAATGATTAAACCAAATGAAAATTCATTCAATATTGTTTGCTTCACCAGAAGAAAACAGGAAAATCAAATTCAATTCAAATTTCTTTTGTTCTGTAAAATCTGAGACAGTTTTGTCTATTCATTATAAGTCTTGATTACTCAAATGACACTGAAAAAGCTCATATGCTCAGCTTTATGACATCGAAACAACATTTTGAGATCTGAAAAATTCTCGTAAATTGTCGATCGCATGGAAAAATTATTTTGAGTCGGTTCGAGAGTTGTCAAGTTTTCATGCCATTTTGAGTTTACAAGATTTTTAACTTTATTTTTTCCATAAAAGAAATTTTTCTCCACTTTTCATCATTTCCTTATTTTTTCAAACGAAATCACACATTCTGAACTCATTCATCGACCAAGTTGTTTCAATTCAACTTCAAAATTTATGCATAAATATTGAATTTTCTGGACAGTTGATAACGACACTCAAATCGTACAAAATGGTTATCGAGTTAAATCAGTGAAAATTGTCTTCCTTGCTCCGAATGAAAGTATTTCAATGAAAAAACTGCATTCTTATCCATCAAATATAACCTAACGATTGATCCAATTCGAGCAACGAAGTGAAGTGGAAAATTTTGTTTTGAAATTTTTTCTCGAACTTTAAACTTGAATATTAATAGTTTTGTTGAGCTTTAAACTGGTTATTAATAGTTTTGTTGAGCTTTAAACTGGTTAATTTACATTTGGATCAATTGACGAGAGAAAAGGTTGAAAATTGAAGGACGATAATTGTTTAGGTAATATTGCACTTTCCCTTTTAATGGTTTGTTTTCACTCGATTCTGGTTCAACTGTGCAATACTCGTTGAAAGCTCAAGTTTTTTCTTCTTCTTCTTCTTTCTGTTCACATTTGAATTGGCTGTTTTAAAAAGCAACTGTCAGAACCAGTTATTCACACATTTACGGTTGGGATAATAAAATTTCATGATAATGATAACAGAAAAATTAATCTGATAAAATGATGATGATGATGAAAAGTTAAGAGATGGAAATGATGTTTACAAATGTTTAGTGGGAAAAAAGAAGCGAGAAATGAATGAATGAGCAAGAAGAAGAAGCAGAAGCAAAGGGAAAAAAAGTGAATTGAACTTGAAAAGTTGAAGGATTGAACAGGAACAAAATTCATGGAATATAAATGACATTTTATCAACAGTTAATAGTGTAGATGAAAGAAGAGAAGAAGAAGAGAAGAGAATCAGAAATTACTTTATACAAGATAATCAGTGAATAAAGATTTCTAGTTTATCATGCAAAAAAGTAATGCTTATTCTCATTCCTAATCATAATCATTACAGTTGATTCATTCACAAGTTTTTGGAAGGAAAAGGCAAAAGAAAAGCCAAAATCAATTTGAAATGCAAAACATGAACATTTAAGCAAACCTTTTGCATCATTTGCTCGATAATAATCATTATGATGACAAAGCCGGCGGCCAAATCGAGTTTCATTGGAACATGAAAATTGTCAAAATTTGAATCAACAAAGGTTGCTCAAGTCAGATTATGGGAAAGGGTGAAACAAGGTTCAAGGTAAATGTAACCAAATGTCAACAAAGACTAAATTTTGGGTCAAAAATGTAACAAAAGAAGTGAAAATTGAACTTTCTGTTTATGCTAATGAAAGATTCAAGTTGCCAAATAATTATCATGCAATGATGAGAAAACGAAGCAACAAATTTTCGCCATGGAATCACTTGAAATTTGAACTTGTTCATCATTTAAATAAGCTTATAATTTGATGATGTTGTTTATCGTTCATTGTCTAAGCACTTTTATTTTCACTTTTATTGCTTTTTATTATCATTGTTATTATTATCACCGGCAACATAAATATGAACAAAAGGTAAAGAAGAGGAAGAAAATTTTTCTTTTTGCTTTTTGACATTTTTCACTCCCAAATCCGAATTTGATATTATTTTGATTTATTTTGATTATTTCTCATTTTATTATCCATTTCTGTTCATGTCTCAACCATTTTTTCAGTGTCATCAAGTTTATCATTGTAAATTTACTCCCAGTGCCCTTCCTTGGAATGAATAACTTTTGGAGTAAAACAAGAAAATTTTTCTTTTCTTTTTCAAAATTTTCTTTTCCCTTTTCCTAGTTCATCAGTTTGTTGTTTTTTGCCTTCTCTCTTTCAGGTCTTGGCCTTTAATGTTACAAAATAATGTTTATTTTCATTTCTAGGCTTGAAAAATACTCAATCATGAAATCACTCTGAACAAATGTAATGCTGAAAACAGAGAAATTCTTTCTTCTCCCTTCTTTGATGGACATAATTTCAATTTCAATTTTTCTTCTTCTTCTTCTTTTGAATATTAAAAATGATCGAACATAGTCTCATATTGAAATTGCTATTTTTAGCCATTTTCTTGACTCTATACAGTCACTTCAATCGAACCAGTTTGCTCATCTACTCACATTTAACATTGATTTAAAGCATTCTTCAGCTCTTGAAACATCCATTTTATAATTTGTCAAGTACTTTTTGTAATCCTTCAGGCAAAATAGAGCATCTTCTGTATTGAATAGAAGAAAGAAAAGAGTTAACTGATTAAAAGGTAGAAAATGCATAGAAAATGACAAGTTATTAAAACACTTTTTCATCATGAATTCAAAGTCAAGAAACTGAGTTTTCAAGTTTTTCTAAAAAAACATTTTCTTCTTCAGAACTTTTTTTCCTGGAGAATTGAAATAAAAAAATCAGTTGCAATTTGATCTTTGATTAATCTGTAATTTATTTAAATCAAAAGAAATGCAAAAGTCAAACTTGAACCGAGAACAAAAACATGGGTTGAAAAATTTAGTTTATCTTATTGAGTGAATGGATTCAACATGAATCTTGCAAGGAAATATCAACAAATGCTTAGATTCACTAAATAATTTACATTATAATTCAAAGAAAATTTTGAACAAAATCATGGTTTAATCGCAGAAATTGATCGAGATTCCATTAAGAATTTATCAAACAATTGTAAAAATGAATTTAGATCATGGCATGTTCGTGCTATTAAAATTGGTGAATCTTTTTGAGACTGATTTTTCATCAACATGTTTACTTGGGAAAAGTGCTAAAACTTTGAAATGGAAAAGTTAAACAGAGGAAAGTGCATTTTAAGCATAAAAATGGATTAATTTGATAGAGTAGTCAGATGAAAATGGATTAACTGCAAGTAAACTTGGATAACATCAATGTAACGGTATAATAATAAATAAAAGTATTAGAGGAAAAGAAGGTTAATCAAAGAAATTACAGCTTTAATTTCTCGAACTATTTCAGTCTCATTCGTAGTATTATTTAGATGTTCATCTATTTGATTTCTTAGGCTTTGACTGTTCGTTTCAATTTCATTCACACAATCAGTCGAGTCTAAATTTGGTCTTTTTGTACACATCAGAGTACCATAGCCTTTCAATCTTTAGTAGACTTTTAAAGCTACTTTCCTAAAACTCTATGTGTGTTTTCTCAAATGCTATTGTGTTACATGATCTACCTGATCTACCTATCTATATAATATTCTGTCTATTTTCCTGGCTTAACAAATAAATTTCTTGTTCTCAACAATGTAATAAGAAAGGCAAAACAAACTCTTTGTTTCAACAAATGGATTACTGCGTTGAGTTGAAATCAACCGGACTTGCTGTGCAAGAAATTATTAATTTGACTTAATTTCAGCTAAATTTTACAAGTATAACTAGTATAACAAATTTTGCATAGTGGGCACATTCATGGGCACACAAGCTTTCAAGACGAACGTGGCTGGACAGGAGAATGAAAAAACTTAAATATCGAATGCAAGGCAAAAAATTACCAAAACCCTTAACATTATAAAGTTGCGGCAAATAGTGAAATTGTTGGTGCCTCTTTGTGCCGCCATTTCATCCAAAAATTGACACAATTTTCGGGATTAGAACCTTGCAGAATCCATATCGCCGGCCATAGTCTTGATTCTCTTGGTTCAGATGGCTATGCTGGTAAAAGATCGCAAAATAAAAAAAATTGGAGGATAACCGGCTTTGCTCTAGCTAGACCAAATTTCACTGACATTGTTATTCGACTTGACGTATCTGATGGAAAATATGCTGAAACAATCCATACTGATTATGTAAGAATGGGACTTCGAATTGAAGATTCTCTTGCATACATCGATTTTCACCCGAATGGGGGCATAGAACCGCCCGGCTGTGGTAAGTCTAATGCTATGTAAGTATTTACAAAAGTTACATTTAATTTCAACAATGTCAGATATTCAGCCTACAATTATAAAACAACTTTGGCAGGTCGTTGAAATCGTCACCCGCGAATGTGCAGTGTGAAAGAGAGCGTCGTGAGTGTGAAGAGTTTTCAACCGCGTTATAAGAGTGATCGCCGATTATAAGTCTACGGAAATAGATATTGATTCATCTTCATCAACAGCATAAATGGATTACTCTTCATCTGCAATTTCTGGCTCATCCGATGATGCGAGTGAGATTGACCTCGATGATGTAAGTTTAAACTGTAATTCAATTCTGGGTCCTTCTCCGCCTCCACCAAATCCCCAGGCAAACGACATTCATCGATTGAGGCAAATGATGGAAAGGTTGGTTGTGTCAACAGAGAGACATAATGAAATTGATGATCGTCTATACGATGATGTTGGTCGTGTTTTTGAGCATATGCTGGACAGGTTGGATGAATTGAGTGAGATAAATCGGAGCATTATGAATGAACCGCGATCACAATCCCTCAGATTGAACTCCTTCCAATATCAGCTCAATATACTGGTCCTTAATAAGGTTTTTGATGGTCAAATTTATGAGGAGAGTGATGAATATAATTGAAAAATCAAAAATAAATTTTGAATTGTTTAATTAACAATACCGAAAGAAGTATTAAAAGCATTATGAATATCTTTTTGCATTACTTTGCCTTTTATTCACTTTGATTGATGGGAAAAAGTAGAGCGGGGGAGAGCGAGCGAAAGAAGTAAACTGGATTGGTGTTTAAGTTAGTTATTATTCAATTTGATTTGATAGAAAAAAGAAAGAGAAAAGAAAGTAAAAAGGAAAGTGAATTAAAAAGAAAAAACTTAAACTAAATTCAACTATTAAAGTACTTATCTTTCACTAAATCTTACAAGGTAACTTCAACAAGTGATACCAACCAATCTTAATGTTCTATAGCTCATTCGAAAGAAATTGTCGAGTAGATAAAACGTGCCAGTTTTAGCTGCTGATACGCACTTTTGCAAAAGTTACAGGGTGTCAAAGTCAAAAATTGACAAAATTTTTCAAACTTTTCTTTATGTGTTGAAAGTTGTTAAATATTCAAATTTTGGCCTTTTTGGATTTTATCAAACAATATTGAATGGTTCTGAACTAACATTTGCTATCTCCAAGGCTATGCTTAACTGTATTAACTGTAACGGTGATCCTTATTCTAACCTTTTTCTTTCAAAACATAGATAGCGATGATTTAACTGAAAAAGGTTCTTGATAGAGTTGCAAGTCTCTTACCGATTCAAAATGTTCCGTCGAGTGGAAGAAGAAAGATGCGCGAAAAGGATAAGCAATATCTTGATACAAGTCGAAAAGAATCAGGAATACAATTTCGAAGAAGTCGCCTATGTCGTGATCGACTCATCAGCATCAGATGACTCATCTTCATCAACAGCATCAATGGATTACTCTTCATCTGCAATTTCTGGCTCCGGCTTCTGGATTTCATCCGATGATGCGAGTGAGATTGGCCTCGATGATGTAAGTTTAAATTGTAATTCAATTATGGGTCCTTCTCCGCCTCCACCAAATCTCCAGGCAAACGACATTCAGCGATTGAGGCAAATGATGGAAAGGTTGATTGTGTTAACAGTGAGACATAATGAAATTGATGATCGTCTATACGAGGATGTTGAGCATATGCTGGACAGGTTGGATGGATTGAGTGAGATAAATCGGAGCATTATGAATAGTATAAAAGCATACGCTTCAACTCCACAGAACGGAAACGAAAATACCTCCACCCCCTTTCGCATGATTGATTTTACACTCGGCTGACTTAACGGCTGACCTTGACACCGTCTTTTGATATTAATGTTTTTGATGCTTGAATGATTCTCCTTACTGGTCACTGTTAATGCTTGAATGATTTTGACACCATAGTAGTAGAAAATATACACAAGGTAACTCCAAATCGATATTTCTTGATTTTATCGATTGATAATTTTATCAAAAATGAATGGAAAATACCTCTACACAATCAAACTCGTCTAAACATGATCTAATTAACAAAACACAAATTATTCATTCTACAATTGTCTTCGAGACATTTATTAGTCCTTGTATCAAAAGCCGTTATTTAATTCTGACCAATTGTTCATTGCTTATATTGCTTCGAAAGATCATAATTAATTATAATTAGAAAATTTTCGCGTACAATTAAATATGCAATAGCATAGCAAACGATTTCGTGAACAGATTTATTTACTGTTTGATAATTCTTTACAATTACCCTTGAAAAATGAATTTCAACAGTTACTACAAGTTCTGTCTCTTGTTACTCTAGTATTTTACTGAATTTAATTTTGTTTATTATATCTAAAACTTATGTTAATGTTCTAAGTAACACCTTTTGATTTTTTCATCAACTTATTGAACAAATTTTCCATCGACTTCTTCACCGGCCTAATCACCATCCTCTTCACTATCTTCTTCGTCATCTCTAACAACGCCATCAGATACTTCTCACTACGTTTTTGTCTATTTCCACTAAAAAAGTAAGTCGAAGTTTAATTTCCCTTTATTTTCACGATGACTCAGATGTCATGATCTTTTATTTATTGTATCAGTTACCACCAAGTTCAAAACACTTTTAAAGCTGATGACAGTTAACTTTCAGGAAAATTAATGACTGATTGTATGAATCCTGATGGTGAACAATAATTGCAACGGTTTAAAACCGGAAAAGTATTAACTGTATCATATGAAAATGAATCTAGTTTTCGTAAAAGGGTGCTGAATTGACCATCTGAGAGGTTTAATGATCAACTATTCACTGACTTTTTTGTGTGTTGATTAATCAACACCTGTTTCGATTGTACAATCAAATGAAACTCAATAAATGTAAGATAGAAGGTTTACTAAAAACAAGTCAATTTAGCAGAATTTATCATCACTATCAAGTTAATTTCATTATCATATGATTTCAAGTTTTAACCATTTTAAACGCATTTACAACGAGAAAAGTTTAGCTCTTGAATTAATGTATGAATTTCTATTTAGCATTTTCAGGTCTCACAGTTAATTTTTCTAGCCAATCGCAATTAAGCTTTATTATTAAGCTTTATTTATAATTAAGCTATTTAAATGCCCAAAAATCTTACAGCTTAAAAAAAATATAACCACAAGATGAGATAAAAAGAGAGAGAAAGGGAACTTTTCTTCGAATATGGATGTAAACTCCTGAAAATGGTTCTCCCTTCACCGGAAGAGTTCGCAAAGGAATTGATTAAGACAGAGTCAAAAGTTGCCGAAAACGAACCAATGGACAGTGAGGCTACGGGCGTGGTTTCCCCTGCCTCAACTTATACTGATTTTAGGGAATGGTTGGAGCAGGGCAAAGATCCTGATGTTTTTGGTGCTGATGCTGGTGTGTTGAAAATGATGACGTTCTCGTGAAGGAACTAAATGATCTGATTGGTTTTCAGCCGCAGCCAAAACCTCCGATCTCTACTAACCACGATGATAGTACCCAAACTGGTTAACAAATAATTTATAACGTTGAAATTCAGTGTGCTTGTGGCATCAAAGCAATATGTCAGATTGACTTTGAAATTGAAACATTGTTTACGAACGTGATTTCAACTTATGTTTAAAACAAATTGTCCTTGTACGCGGAAGTATATAATCTGAATGATTTTAAATACCAATCCAGTTCTTTAATCGTTCACTTTTAGAGTGTTAATTCAAAAGTTCAACGATTAAACTGTGCTCATATTCCAGTCTTTCTTGCCTTACTTTGCCCTATCTCTGCTTTTCCTGTCTTACTTGCCTACGAACTCTCATTATTGGTGAGTTTTTCAAGGTGTTCTCCATTCGCTTCAAACTTTTTGGTTCTAATGCTTTTCAGTTTTCGTTTTTTTTATTTTGGCTACCTAGCTTGCCTTTTGTTGCCTTGCCTGCCTTGCTCTCTTTGCCAGACAAAACCTTCTCTTGATTTTTACCAGCCAGACATCAAACACAAAGTAAGTTATCTTTTGATAAAATTTCGTGTTTTGTTCCTTAGCATTGGTGCAATTGAAATTTTTGAATTGTAGTCAATGAATATTATTGCATTTATTTTTATGCAACTTTTTTCATTGGTTCACTTTGCTTTAGAATGATTTTAGTTTTAATTCAACTTTTTTCTTGTATTCCATACTGAAAAGTTCTTGATGAAATCGACATGAAGTTGGCAGACTTCACTGACTTTTTAAATAGACACGAGGAGCTGAGTGAATCAACATTGTTTTTACAAGCAATCAAAGCTATCGAAGATGGAGATGATGATTATATCGATGATCATGAAGATATTAGTTTAGATGATGATTATATCGATGATCATGAAGATATTAGTTTAGATGATGATGACATTTCATGGTAATTTGTATTCAATAAAGAAATTTACTTTTTATCAATTTTGTTTATTTAAAAAAACGCGGGAAAAATGTACCAGAAAGGCGCTTTTATTACTACTGCAGCTAAAAATTGCAAAAAGCAAACCAAAAGGCAATAAAATATTGCCAGCGCCTTTATGTTTACTTTTTACGGCAGTAAAAATTATGAGCAAGACGTTTCCAAGACTGTAAAATGTGCTCTAGGAGATGTTGCTATTGCTTGCTTGTTGCTAGAATTTTTATAATGCGCATGCGCTATTATTCACAGTCAATTTTGTGCCCAACAGATGAATAACTTTGGTGAAATCTGTACAGAATTTGATATTAACCCCTGAATAGCACAATACGTAAGGAAATTTACTTCAACTGAAGACTGTGATCGTCTATGTTCACAAAATTTTGTTATCGTAGAGCATCTGTTTGCACCTTAACTGTCTTTGTCCACTACATCTACATTGATGATGGCTATTTGACTTAATTTTGATACAATAAATATTGATAAAATGATTCAAAACTGTGCAAAATTCTTGTAAATGCTAACACCAAAAAACATAAAAAACAAAAAATTAGTAGTTTGTAGTAATTAGTAGTACAAATAAGTTTGAAATAATTCAAAATTGTTTGAACATAACTTAACTTTAAATAAAATGCCCAAATTTTAAACCCAAATATCTTAGGAATCACTGGGTTCACAGATGGAAGCATTACGGGTTTTTCATAACTCATCATTCTCTATCGAATGACACCTTTCTCATTCAAAGTACTCTGGTAATCCAGGTGATTCCCTTGTTAGTGCCTAATTATAATTTTAACTTAATTTTAGTTAACTCAAAGAAAAATTATGTCCATTCAATATAATGAATATTGAAATTAATAAATTCTATTAAATGGTCCTAAAATGTTACATCTATACTAATAATACTAGTAATTCTTGTGATCATAAGTTTTCATTTTCAAATTACTCATTTTGAGTAACCAAAACCGATGATTTAATTTTATACATTTTTTCATCTAACTACAAACAGAACTGGTTCAAATCTTATTCAAGGAATCTTATTGACTCATCTTGATTCTTCACATTTTTGTTTATAGAGATTTTTGTCACGGTGGTTTTGTGATATGATCATTGAATCAATTTCTGCGATTTCATGATTTCCTCTATTCATTCTTCTTCAATTCGATAAATCTAAGCATCTTAAAATCAAGCATATTTACCGGCAAGATGTTATTTATAGATAAGATAATATTTATAGCAAGATAATTCTGGATTTTTCAACCTTAGAAGTTTTTGTTGTTTCATTCGCATTCCATCATAATAATGTACCTTTGCTTCTGTCCATGTTTCCTTTTCTGGTCAACATTACAATGTTAAGCTGATTTGGTTTACTTGAAATCGGATTAAGATTATCGTCTTTCTCTTTTCTCTTTTTTTCCTATGTTTAATTGGTTTCATTGAGGATAAACTTACAACTGGCAATATCAATTCTTAACATTTTCTTGCTTCTGTGTGTACACTGATAATGAGTATTAAAAGATGTACCATTAAAAGGAGGCTAACATGGAAATTTGAAAAGGTAAAGAATGATTAAACTTTGAATTTTAATGTTGAGATGAAACATGTTTTTGCTCAACTAATCTTTCCAATGAAAGTAGATTAACTTGATATTTATTCATCATTAGTGTATTCATTGCATCATTCATTGAAACTGATTTGAAAATGAAGTTTAATCAATTGATTGATGGAATGGAAATTTAATTGGAAATTTTTAGATTTCACATTTTTCTCTCCAGTGAATCCAATACAAAGAAAAAGGATAATCTTGTTTAGTTTGTAATACTTACTATTTGAATCGACACAGAGGAAAAATAGTTGAAGATAAGTTTTGAGGAAATCAGGTAAATCTTGATGGCTTTTGGTTGTTTCTCCGAGTTTCTCAAAAAATTGAACCCATTCACCAAATTCAACAAAAGTATCCTGAGACAATTTTTTAATGGCTCAAAGTTTATAAGGAAAAGCAAAGTTTATCAAGAATCAATTTTTTACTCGAGTCACTTACAGCATTATAGTCTGCAAAAGAGGTCAACTGATTCCACCATTTTTCAAAAATTGCCTTCCAACGATCATAAACTTCCTTCTCCAGTTTACCTCGACGTTGAAGTTTGGTGTACTTTTCAGCCAACTGATTAAAGTCTTCCCATGACAGAATGCCATCGCCATTATCATCTGCAAAAGTTCAAGTCGAAGTCAATTTTTAAACAAATTGAGTTGGTTAAAGCGCTTCATTTTTGAACACAAAATGTGAAAGAAAGCAAATCAACTGTAAAATTTGGTAAATATTAACTCAACTAAAGCTGAAAATATTTTCAACTATTCATCAAAATTATGTAAATAAAGATGTCTTAATGTTCACTTTCAATGTTTTGCTTTGAATATCAATAAACATTGAAACTGCAGCTTTAGCAGTTGATAATTTTTGCTCTGGAAAATCGTAAAAATCGAAAATTAATTGAATATTAATGGGAACATTAATAGTAGAGATGGTTCATTCAGTTGATTGCTTACCCCAAAAGTTGAGAAAAGTGAAAAGATGTTTGTGTCTAAAAAAGTTTTGGTCCATTTGACTTTAGTTTCTGCGAAGAAGAAAAAAGAATCAAAGTTGGATTAAATTTTAAAATTTATTAATATTGCCATTATTGCTGGTTCTATCAATTTATTTTCGAAAAAGCGATAAATTTTGTTTCAAGTGCATTTTGGGAAAAGCAAAATATGTTATTTTACAATATATCATGAAATCTGGAGAGGCTATGATTCATAAGACATTTTTTGTCGAAAGTTTTCCATCGATAAAAATTCGAAAGAAATTAATGTCTGAACATTATGGATTGTTGAGTTGACCTGAAGTCAATATTATGATTTGTTGATATCGCAATAGTAGTAATGAAGTCTGAAGATTATTTGGAAATTTACTTTGCAGAAAAGTTACTAATTGATACAAATTATGAAATGATGGAAGACCTTAGTTGGAACTTTATCTGATCACATAAATCGAGTCAGATTCTAATGAACTGATATGGAAACATTGATTCTTTTACTTCGAAAAATTTCGTCACAAACTCGAGCAACTATAAAAAAATTTCATACTTCATTTGTCTTCTGTTCTTGTTATGCCATCAAGGCTTTGTTATCTGATTTCAGAAGAGTTTTGATAAGTTGCTATTGGATTTACAGGGAGTTCTGAGTTATCATTCCCTTCTGCTAATCACTTAATGCAAGTCTCGATCGTCAAGGTAATGCTTTCAAGTCACAACATGAACTTGATTCGAAACATGATCTGTGCATAAAAAAGCGTCTCATCTATCGATTTGTGTCAATAACTTTAACGAATGTCAAGTAATTAATTGATAAATTGGATTCTGAAGCACCCTGTAGTAACCATCAAATGGCATTAAGTCTGACAAAAATGAACAAAGATGATTAAAAAGCCTAGAATCAAAATTATCTTTTTGTTTTTCATTTTTTTCTCCGAGTTAATTAAATGAATTTGATGAGGAGTTTAGGATTTACACAATAATTGAAACATTTTAATATTTGAAATTGATGAACAACTGGGAGTGAAAATGACGATGAATATCTGGGAGTAGAAAAAATTTAGCTGCGAACAAAAAACGAACCAAAAAAACAAATAGTCATGAAATTTTTATTCGCCAAATGTAAATTGTAGATTCTGTTTATGATTGTTGTGTTTGATTTACCATGTTAATCTTTTTCTTTCCATTGTATAAAATGAAATAAATATCTGGGAATAAAATTTGATGAAAGAAGAAAAAAATGAAATTGCATAAATATAATTGCAGATAAAACGGAAACAATTCAATTCAACAGATGATTTGGTACAAAATAAAATGACTTGTTGAAACGATTTTTTCTTCCCTCTTTTTTGTTCTCTTCCCTGTTATCAAAATTCCCTGGATCCTTGCAATACAAGTTTATAGCCTCAATTCATACCAGTTTATACAAATGCAAAGCAAAAACAAGAATCTCTTGCTACATTTGATCAAAGAAGATTAGTATTAAGTGAAATGATTAAAATGATAATCGTCTCATGGACGACATGAAACTGAACAACATTTACTTTAAACTCAAGAATCATTAGCAGTTTGATTGCCACGGAAGGTTGGCTGAAGATGGAGACTTGAGCAACCTAAGAGGTGAACCTAGTTGGGTCAACCTTTGTATGCTTGAGGCTCACTTGGCTATCTTGACTTACTTTCATCTTTTCAGGTTTTCCTTTGAATTAATGAGATTCTCTAGACTTGTTCATTTTAATCCTACAGTGAATAGTAATCAATAACTGAACCATCATTACTTTGGCAAGTCAATGAACTAAAAGAAATATTTATCCATTGCTTGATAAAATAATCACACTTGCAGTTGTTTGTGATCATTGACATTAAATCATTATTAATAAATCATACTTTGATTATTTTATTGAACCAATCTTAAGATTTGTTGTTTATCCCATTTTCACATATGTTTTATAGCTTACAACTAAATGATTAAACTTGATGTTAACCAATACAAATATCATTACATGAAGTTAATTAGTTTAATGCTATTATGGAATGAAAGATTCATTTGAATCTTTTTTTTGTACTTTCTTTTCAATTCTCCAAGTTGGATCAAATTTTTTGGGGAAAAAAATTAATTTCTATTGACAATGTTAACTTATATCGCATTTTGTCTCTACAGTAATAAAGCAAAGAAGGGGAAAAAATGATTACATTTATAGCAGTTGAATGAAAAGTTCAACTCAATATCCATGCACTTTTGACTATATTCAAACATTATTAAGAGCAGAAAAATTGTGTTTCAAAAAATATTGTTTCCAGTTTTTCAAACTCATTAATTTCCAAGTCATCAGTTAAATTGAATTTTGTTGGAGTTTCAAATTTCTTGATATTAATAGCTGTATCGATAAAGTTGATCTCAATGATACTTTTAGTGAAACTCTGATGAAACTCGAAAAGATTGCAGATTGACTAAATGAACTCATTTAATGGTGATTGGGTCGATACTTTCAATCAACAGATCAATTTTGATTACAACTATTTAGCATTGGAATAAGTTTTAGAAGCAATTTTCACTTGGATTCCATCTTGCCGAGTTACCACACTTTAAGCATTTAAATGTTTTTCAATCAACTGAGAAAGGTATCAACTTTGAATTAAATTTTTGTCGATCAGTTGATTGCATTTTTTGCATTTTATTTATCAAATCATTTCTAAGGTGATATTGCTTGCATTTGATGGTATTCATTCAGCAATTTGATGTCATTTGCTTCATTGCAGTTTTTGATTTTTCTTAATTGTTCTGACTTATTGTCTGAATATTGACCGTGTTTTGATTCATTTTCATCAAAGTTACTTGAATTCACAAATGAAATGAAGGGTTTATTTACATAAAAAAGATTGAAAGAAGTTTTGAATTTTCCAAAAAATTAGACTTGACTATCTGAGTACATGTTTAGCTAAAGTAGTTTTTTGCAAACGATAATGAAAGGTGACTCCAAGTGAAAGCTGTTTTCAAGTTGAATAACACTTGATGGTCAAACATGGGAAAATGGTGAAAGAGAACAAAGTTTACATTTAGAAAGGTGAATCTGTTAACAGGTTTTTAAGCTTGAAAATGATGATGATGATGAAAACACAAATGTCAAAATAAATTTTCATCAAAAGGGAAACACAGAAAAGGTTAAAGGTTGCTTGTTTCGAGGGGAGATTCATAAATGAACATATTGACCATTGTTCAAGTTGCATGTTTACTGGTCAATTTTGAGCAGATTAAACATGAACAAGAAAGGAGAATGAAAAAAGAGCAAAAAGCTCAAAGCATCAACATTTCAATCAAAAAATGCATTTAACCAATTTACTCTGAATCGAAGGAAAGAGAAAGAGCAAAAAAGGTCAAAAAAATGAGCTTCTATCAGCCAAATGGGTTGAGCAATACAATATATCAAATGAAATGCAGGGTAATTTGAACAAGATGATGAAGAAGAAGAAGAAAAAATGAGAACAAATTTTCATTTATTAGTTCTCTTGTTTATCCATTAGTGTGACACTGACTTTATCCATTGTTGTACATGTTTTGCCCTTCATTATCATCATCTGTCCCTTGGTATGTCAAAGCCCATTAACTGGTGACAAGTGAATCGAGTAAAACTAAAGCCAATCAAACATCAAAACTTCCTAATCCTCAAAACTGATTCAAAAATTTTCTACTCCTAAATTCACTTTCATTTTTTGTCTCTCTCTTCCTTTTGCCTGTTACATCCATTCTCATCTTTATCATCGTCTTTATCATCATCTCTTTTCATCAGCATCCTTCACTCGTCAACTTGAACGAAAAAAACAAAAACTCTTTATCCACTTTCATCTTTCCATCAACTCTTCAACTTGAAAAGGCTAAAGTTTACTTTTTTCACTCACATTTTCCTTTCGTTTATAGCAACACTTTTAAATCAATCATGTAATAAACTTTCAACTAATCGGCATTTTCTGCTTTACAATCACAGCATGGATTTTCCCAGTCCCCAATCTTCCAATTGAAACCTCAAAAAATCATCTCTACCTGGTCGAGAGTAAAGACACTTTTCTTTACCAATCAACTTGTCTGTAACCTTGTTGTTGCCAGTGAAAAGTTGGTAAAGAGGTAGAAGTAAAAAAAAGACAAATTATCTAATTTATTCGGTAAACTACTGAATAATCATCAAGCCTAGATCTTAGCAGTTAATTTCATCAGCATAATAATATAATCACCGATGAAGCAAAGAGAGCATTATTCATTAGATTATCAAAAGCAGAGGCGAGGTAGAGTCAGAAAAAAAGTAGCAAAAAATAGATTATTCATCAGCTCGAATATCTTGCAAAAAGTAGAAGCATAAATGAGGTTAAATTATCAATATCATTGGTAGTTGGTAAACAATTTGGACCAACGATGAACGAAAATTGATTTCATTGGCATCAAAATTTCCAAGTCTAATTGACCATGTAAATTCGAGTCTTTCAATAGTTTAAATTGTTGCAAAAATGATATAAAAGCAATTAAGTTCAGCGACTGGAACGCATTTCCAAAAAAATGAAACAAATTACTTCAACTTATACCGATATTTACTTTCGAAAAAGCTTTTCCAATGAAGATTCAATTTTTGTTTCATTGGAAACTTTTCCATTCTCATTGAGCAATGTTTACCTCAAAGTTTGAGTTTGCCTTTACCTTGGAGCAAAATATTGAACCTTAATAATTACAGATAATAATGCATTTAGATATTATTATATTAATCCTTTGACAATTTGTTATAACAATGATAACTCCCTGGAGTTTAGTTTATATTTTTATTCATTTTTACTTTTCTTTTCATTATTCAAACGAAGAAACCTTTTTATCGTTATTATTTTTACTATTTATTATTATTACTGTTATTGCTGTTATTATTGATATTATTTAGGTTTGCTTCAAATTTGCCATTTTTTTATCATTTCAGTTGGCTTGATAAGATAAACAAATGAGATTCCGGAAATGGTTACTCAGTTTATCGATGAAATTCAATGGAAAAAGGTCTGAAAAGGGAAGA